TTTCTTCGTTACCGAAAATGAACTATGGTTAACGGCAATGTGGGCCACCGGTGACCCAAAAGATTGGCTGCCGGTGGCCAAGAAGACTCTATTGCACGAGTAATTTATTAGATTCTAATTCTCGTTCTTTTCTGCTACTCAACTTCGCTGCTGTAAAAAGCTCCCACTGGCGAAGACATGAAGCACCGGTGTCCCAAGCTTCTAGCTTCTCCTCAGCTGGATTATTGTTGTTTTTGACTGGAAACAGTTTCGATAACATTTCTAGACTCTTTGATTTCTAACCTTGTCCTTAGCTTTAATGAAACAACTTTAAAAAAGCAATGCAAAGGCTCGTCCTTGATAAAGAGTTAAGCTGCCCAGAAGATTTAGCAACGTCATACTGTATACAGCATATAAGACGATAGCAGCAATATAATGCAAAGAAGATATGAAAAACTCTTCCAATCACACTATCGGTGCCTTCTATTACAACGCAGGGCGTGATAGTGGCCGGGAACGAAAACTGATAAATGCTGTTCATGTGACAGTGGTGGAGAAATTGATTCACACAGGTGGTTCGGGTCGAGTTCTTGCAGGCAGTAATAAAACTAATTGTATTGATCGACATAGCGTTTACAGAATGACGAGACTAGTGGAAGGTAAAAAAGGGGGAGGGGCAAAGACGTGAAAAAACTGTTTGATTTTCACTACATCATGAATGCAAATAACTGCAAATAACTAGTCGGCAGCGCGAGTTGGGATCGATTCCGTCGGCAGCCGCCGTCGGCGGCGGCGGCGCTGGCCGGCCGCCCGCCCAACGATGAGAAGGGGACGAGCGAGTTGTTTTGCTGTCGGCCGCTGCTGCTCCTGCTGCTGGCGCTGGTCTGCTGGCGACTGCACAGGCAGCGGGTGTCGGCGGCGAAGACACTGCGTCGCTGAAGCAGAACGACGACGGACAGACAGCGTGTGCGATGCCAACGAGACGCCAAAGGACAAATTCAGGACATAATGGGAAAGCGCGCACAGAGAGGAAAACAGAAACCTGTCGTGGTGTCGCCGCACGGATAGATTGTCCGTGACAATGAAAAAGGATCGTGGTAGAAGCATATGAAAAAATCAGAAGCCGAAAAAAAATTCAATGAAGGTTCGTAACTTTCCAGTTTCCCTTAAATGCATGCAGATAATGACCGGGTTCGTTGCAGAGGATCAAAGAAAAGAAATGAAGTAGAAATGGGCAGAAATACGCTCTTCTCAGGCCATTAATCAAATCAGTCAACTTTACAAACACTTCTCAGGTTGCTAATGGTGAGGGGAATTTTTGATCATCTTCATGTGACAAGGAGCGTTTTGCTTAATCTCTTCAAAGGGGATTGAAATGACCCGAATCTACAAAGAAAAAAAGCGATGCCGCTTGGAGAGCCAAATGTTGATAGTATGTTCACCATAAATAACACTTCAACCGATTTCGTTTTTTTATCGGATCAAAATCATGTGATTAATCGTTGGGCCGCTCTTAGCATTTCACCGCCACACCCAATTAGCGAAAATGTTCAGTGGATAAACATCGTGAGTTGGAACGTGCAATAACCGAATGCGGAAGACTAAAGAACAAATGCAGAGGCACCGAGTTGCAGGAGGCCGAACAGGAAGCTAGCTTGAAATGGCGTGCAGGAAAATTTCCGGGTGAATATAGAGCCATGCAAACCGCATGCTATAGGAGAGCCATGTCCCGGAATCTGCAATAATCATTAATGCACGAGGTAGATTTGTCAAATGTGCATACAACGAAACTAAGCATGAAAACAAGCTTTAGGCAAAGCTGGTGCAGAATGGATACATCAGGAAGTAAAGCGAATGAGGGACTAAAAATATTCACCACCACAACAAGAAGGGCATAGCGGGCAAAAATGCGGAGTGAGTTGTAGCAGAAACACGGAAGGAAAGAATGGGGGAAAATGAACTGTGACTAATTGAAAATCAAGAGTGGAAGTGAAATTATATCGCAGCTATACATTACTTCAGTGCTATCTTTTGCAACCTTTCATGTGAGTAGATCAATAGCATGCAGATGCAAATACTTTTTCTAGGAGGCGGAAGTGCTGCTTTACCGCGCTATACGGCTATGGTCATGGGTGCATGCGTGCTGCGTGAAACACTCTTCGTTGTCGGACCCTCTTGCTCAGTAAATGCACACCGTCGCTAAAGAGCGATATAGACACACTTACAAGGGAGGTCGGATCAGTCGAAGTGGCCTTTTCAAATGGGTCATATACTATTTTGAAGAGCGTTGAACGCTGATTCCGAATCTGTCTTCGTTATCTGCCGAGCGCCTCTGTACGCTGAGTTATGAGCGTTCTTTGGGTTGAAAAATTAAATGCGTAATTGAAGCAAAGTTCGTCAGAATTGCTCAAATGGTCCAATGTTGGTTACCAGAGCACTCCATTTTATTAGATACCTTCTGTCCAAAACACTCATACTACATGTTGCTCTATATAGACGCTGAAAAGTCCGTAATAGTTAATTTTAGTTGAATTCTGCGTTCATTTTTCGCTCCAAAAAGCATTCATAACTCGGCATGCAGAGGCGCTCGGCAGATAATAAAATCAGATTCGTAATCAGCTTTTAACGCTCTTCAAAATGGCATATGACTCATTCAGAAAGGCCACCCACTTCGACTAATCGGACATCCCTTGCAATCATTTCGCACTTCTTTCCTTCACACTGATGTCTTGCGTTCCTTTGATTCGAGGCGAGTCGTATTGACATATCCTGTTCGTATCATTACAAGTTGTTGATCCAAGCAGCATGTTTTAGTATGATTTAGAAACTTGGAAAAACGAAGAAATCAATTATTATGAATGTAGCATGTTAAATCCATTTCCGGCAATGTATGTAAAACTTTTTCACGATTTCGTGCAAGATCCGATTGGATCCGGTACACAAAGATTATTTAGATGTGTATCATGTCGTTCATGTATTTAGATAATAAGCTGCAGCTTAATCACCTTTTCATAGCCGTGTAATGAGAGTACAAGTTTTGTACATTTGCACATGGGTAGGTCTTCAAGCGTATTTCGCTATGGACCCACTCCATCAAGAGTGCCATCTTTGAGCACAACAGCGTCAAGGGGCAGAAGAAGTTAGAGGCAAAATGCTGGGATAGGGTACAGACAAAGTCAAACCCTTACCCGTACTATGGTTTCAGTAGAATGCGGAAAGAAAACAAGGAAAACACAAAGAATTGTGTTCGTTTAACCAATTATGGTTATCCCCACACTCAGATAAAAACAGTAAAACCCTTTATTAGTGCATATAAGCGATAAGATGATGATAACTTCTCATATACTAGCTATCCTACTCGCTAACAAGTGTCCGTGCGGATACAAAATTAGGTTTAGTTGTGACTATGAGTAACCTCTATAGAATTCCTAGTCCTTTTCTGAAAATATTTTTCCCATGCGAGAATATGTAGAATTTCTTCAATTACCACGCTTTCTCGATCTCCCCTATTCACAGACATTCATTCGGATAACTTCCCTGCCTTCTCTTTGCTTCATCCAATTTTCCTCAACAACTTTCGTGAAGGATCACTAACGAGGGAACGATCCCAACTTAAGGTGGCGAATTGGAATGAACCGCATACCATTAGATGCGCCTTGATGAGCTGATTCCAAATCTACCTTCCATATCTGCGACAACGTTATTTGCAAAAAGTTATGAGCGGTTGAAAATGTAAAGTTATTGGGGTTTCAATGCATAATGTGCTTCAAAATCCGACTTGAAAGTGTATGACTAGCATGATATTGAGTGTACTGATTTCAAGGAATGCTCACATTCAAAAGAAACACAAATAAGTGTTTTTGAACAACTAATTTTCGAGAAATGGCGCTGTATATTTGCCAAATTTGGATTTTTCATTGCTCATAGCTTTTACTAGAGAGCTTTAGTTGCTTTTTAGCTGTTCAAAAACACTTATTTGTGTTTCTTTTGAATGTGAGCATTCCTTGAAATCAGTACACTCAATATCATACTAGTCGTGCACTTTCAAGTTGGATTTTGAAGCACATTATGCATAACCCCAATAACTTCACATTTTCAACCGCTCATAACTTTTTGCAAATAACAATGTCGCAGATATGGAAGGTAGATTTGGAATCAGCTCATCAAGACGCACCTAAGGTATGCGGTTCATTCCAATTCGCCACCTTAAGTTGGGATCGTTCCCTTGTAAGAAAGCAGCAGCATGCACATCGTTTTGGAAGTAGAAGAACATGCATAACAGTGATGTATATTACAAGGAACGGCTTTTCTTTCAGAGTCAATAATGAAAGCAACAAACTCAGTTGTCTGAAGACTCTGTCAGAAAGTCCTCCAAGTTAGGATTTCGTCAAATTAAATCTGAAATTTTACTATAAAAAGAGACCTCTCTCCATGAACCTTGACTACTGAATTATCTTGTTATTTTACCAGAACATTTAGCAGGATCTGGGCAGAAGTGATCAGTTAAACTTTTTAACGACGAAATTCTTGGCATTCGTGCCCTACGTACCGCTTAAAGACCGTAACTCTAAGAGAAAACTAGCCTACACTCCTAGTAAAAAAACGAAATTAAGCTTGTAGCCTCAAATTGCAATGCCTGTCACCTAAGGATAGTCAATTATAAGAATAGCTTCAGAGATACAAACATTGTTTTCCTGCGTAAACAAAATACTAAGCAGTAGCAGTTTTTTTACTGTTTAGAAACTCTAAAATTTTTTCAAGAAACAAGAGATCTTCGAATCTCTGAAACTTTGCTTGATTTTTCCGCTACACTGATTTCTGTAGTCTGCAGATTCCGATTATAGTATTCAAAGTGCTTGCTCCGATCTCATAGTAAAACACGTCTCCAATAATGTTGGCGCAAACAATTGTTCAGTAACAGAGAACATGTTAATGCAGGAAAATTCGATACAATTCTTGGTGAAAATTCTATTGAAAGAAGTCGAATTCTAGCTAAAAACATATTCCTGAATTTTACTTACTGCGCGTGATTTCGTTCCATGTGACACTCGTCTGGTTGCACCTTGAGTTCGAATGGTGGGGAAGCCACTGCAGCGTCAAGTGATGTCATCGATACCTTCCGCTGCGGCAAGGTAGTGGACGGAATCGGCATCTGCATAACAATAATTATAGATTTATGCTGAAGTTAGAAGTGTGTTGCACACTATTTTGTTGCTTTTACAAAAATTTTCATTGGACTTTCTGGTATAGTATTTCTTCGTTTCTCAAGCGATTTTTTAGAAGCACTCGTCATATAATGACAAATCTGGTTATTTCAATTTTAAGGTAGATGTGGAGTCCTAAATCTGACTCGTTTTTGTCGTAATGGGTGGTAGTATCCTTTAGTTCAACTGGATTGGGGCTTGAAGGCGGGGTTTCGTGATCTAAGCTAGGTCAGAAAGTGATCAGAGAGCGCGTTCACGGAGAAGACGCAAACTGCGGCGCGGACGCGAGCGGTCGCTTTCCAGCCGTCATTTTCTTCAAATCAAAGGGTACGTAGTATAATGCAGGCAGGGGCGGCACTACTAGTCTACTTTCTCATCCAATGGCAGCGCGGCTTAATACCATTTATACTTATGACTAGTCGCAGAAAATTCTTAACTTGGAAGATAAATTCACATTTGTTCATCTTGAAAATGCTCGAATAGAATTATCGTACATACATGACATATTAGTCGCACATCGTTGAATATTCTTATATTATATTTATGCCATGCCTACCTGTTGGGGTATGGACACGGGGTGCTGGAATGGCTTTGACCACTGCGTATTGTTCATGCTATCCATTGGCATAGGGTGGTAGCCAAGCATGCTTTGAGTGATCGTCTGCAAACAACTTACAATCTACACTTTAAACTTTCCTTATTCGCAAAAAGCAATGCATAATGCAGTGCTGGGAAGTGTGCTTCGTGTAGGATATGACAACTAATATACTAGAGTCACTTTCAAAATCGTCCACCTACAACTGCGACAATAATTTTGATCTACTCAAAAATTTCAAGCAAGCTAAGCACAATGAAGAGCAAGAAAACGAGGACCTCAGTGAAAAATATGCTTGCACTGTAAATGCTTATTCACTTTTTGTATTTCTCAACTTGTCCAAACACAGCGCATAGATTTCGTCAACACACACGGTAGCTACAGCACTTCCGCATGTGAAGATTTGCCTGAGCATAGGTCTCCAACGCAGCGCCTCAGAAGTATTTCGCGGATTCATAACAATGCTGGCAATAAAGCAAGTAATGCTGTCGAGAATCAAAGAAAGAGTCAAACGATAGGATCTTTGCTAAAATGCGTGCACTGCCAAAAGGCTACGTGGCAGGCCACCTGACCGTGGCTATGCAGAAGAACCTGTTCGGACAGTTGTAGTCACATGACCTCCGAAACTTCACAAGCGAATTTCAGAGAAAGCAAGAGATGGAACTGAGGCACAGAATGTGAGGGAAGCATAACAAGTAATTCAGCTCACACTACGACTTCCATCTGGATGTCTTGTCTCCGGTGGCGTGAAGAAATCCGCAGCTACGCTGAACTTTCGCATCATGGACTGCTGCAAGAAATATTTATCATGTGAGAAATAGCATCATTTGAAATGCATAGCATACAACCTTATAGGCCACTGAGCATTTTCCGTACTCAGCGAAGTGATCCTTGTGAAGAATATGCAAGGAAATTGTCAATACTGTCAAAACCATTACGCCAATCTATCACCGCAGGTTATAGTGGTGAGCACTTCTATGATCTTATCCGAAATCTGTGCTGTTTCTAGAATTCCACCCGTTTTCTAAACATAACTTCAATTCAACAACTAACATTCTAACAACTCCCTTCGGAAGGTCGTTGAAAATGTGATAAATGGTGTACAATCTACTCTTCCTTAGCAATTCCAAGCGTGCTTGAAATAACTCATTCTAAGATGTAGTAAACTAGCACAGACTCGTTCGTTAAGTAGACGATGGTCGGAGATACTTGCCTCAGGTTTCATCAAATTCCCTCATAGGATATTTTTGCAAAAGAATTTCAAGTAACCATTTCTCCCAGGTGCAAACATGCATTTTTTTCAAAATTTTTAGACTCCTTACCAGAAAAAACTGAAAATTTTTTCGTTTTTCACATCTGCATTGCACTAAGATCGTACTTGTTGCATGGAGCTGATGTCAATCGTGATACTTTTTTGTGCGATTTTCAAACTGCAACGCAAGTCAGTTTTAGCCGCAAATCTTTAAATTCAAGTTTTTCAGCTGTAGAGTGAGGATATCTTTGTGATTTCCGTCAATTGATTCAATGAGGACAGAACATTTATCGATATAAACGAAGCATCCTCAAGACTATTCAAAAAACTGATTGAGTCTTTCATGTGAAGCATCGGGTGAAGCGTGCAACTAAACATGGGGTGATCACGAGGAAAGCGGCAAGATTTTTTGTCCATCGCCAAAAAAGGCGTGAAAAAATGGTTCCGTGCCTTTTTTGGCGTTCCATAACTCGCTACAGAAAACATTTGAAGACAGTAATGAAATTTTAGATTAGGTACGTGACGTCCTCTGGGGGAAAGAGACTCAGGGATTCGCGCCGTGCGAGCGGTCCTCCTACAGGCACCAGCACAAACGGCCGACATAAACCTATAGCTTCCGTGCGTGCGGCGAACAATGAAAATCCCATCTTAGGTCCCGGACAGACTTCACGCGACTTAATCGCCGCGATCTAATTGCCAAGATTTCCATTCATTTTCATTTCACATTCAAATTCGGGCTGGAAAAGTATCACAACCGAATGCAAGTTGATCGGCATGGAATGATATTGTAACAGTTGTCTCGTCGCGATTCAGTCGCGACGATTAATCGCGTGAAGTCTGCCCGGGGCCTAAGCGGCAGGCAAGTGTTACCGTGCGATCGGGCGGCAGTACATTTGCCCAAGCGAGCGGTCAGCAATGTGCCCGTCTTCGGACGACAACCCGTGGTCGTGCAAGCGGCCGACAGTGACCTTTATTTTCTCCTTGTAGTTGTCACACGCTGTGAGCCTAGACGGTACCTGCGTGAGATACGATGCGGCGTTTAGGCTGCCATTAGTCATGATATGTCTGTATCAGCAGCGCGATCTTCATTAACCAGGAGCTCGAGGAAGGTCTATGAGTTTATGCATGGTCAGAAGTGTAAATGTAGACTCCCAACATATTATAAATTGTTGTGCTAATGCTGCACGATCCACGTTCCCGGATGTAACCGACATACTCAAAGAGAAGGATCAAAGTACCTCGTTACCCCAAAAGCGAGAGAGCGGTCCACCTTCCCCGCGCAAGCGGCAAGCCATAGTACCGTACGTGCGCCACACTTTACCCGTATGCTCGGCCCTTGACGACCGCACAATCGCACACACCAACGAGCGTTTGTAAGGTCGTCGCTGGCCGCCCGCACGGCGCAAGTCCCTGAGGAAGAAAAACAAAAGCAAAGCGCACTACTTGAGAGGCTGGCCATATATGACATATGTGGGGAAAGTCGGGTAAAGTCAGAATCCCTATGGTCTGCACTTGTACAGTTGTTTGGAGCGAAGCGTGCAGCGCCCATTCTGGAAGGAGTGTGATGAATTATTTAATTAATTATTATGAATGATACATTAATGAAACCGGTCATAGCCATTCATCAAATAACTTGTTGTGTGTTTTGAAACGGATGGAGCTTTAGAAACAACACAGTATTTCAGATAACATCACATAACTGCTCATCACTATTGCAGTATTAGGTTGATCAAATAAACTGCTCACCACTATTGTCTGCGATAATAGGTCGGCGTAATCGTTTTGATAATTTTGAGAACTTCCTTGCATGCACTCATACATTTGTTCTCTCATTATTGTTAGACAACGTATCTGAGAGTAACTCTCCGCCTCCCTTTTAGACTCAAAAAAGTTACGCATGATGAAGAGCGACCTTTCGAGTGATGCGCCAGAAACGAAGAATACGGCAAAAGGAAGGTGTAACTTTCCAAAACTGATCTCATATGCTGCAGCACTGTAAACTGGCACTAGGAACTTTCCCTCGCGACAGAGCTTATGTAAAAGTTTGGACATGATACATTAATGAAACCGGTCATAGCCATTCATCAAATAACTTCCTGAATTGGTTGAGGTACGTATGGGGTGTCACATACACACAGAACATCAGTGAGCATTTGAGGTAGGGACGAAGATCTATCATGCTGTAAGATCCATCTAAGCCAAATGTGAATGAGATCCATCAAGAATATCACCGCAAATTCCGGCCGCCTGCCGAAAAGGAGTACCTCTAAAGCGACTAACTATAGCACTGTGTGAGTCCCCCTTTTCCATAAGTTAGGCATGGGATTAAAAAAGAAGAAGCCTGATCCAAAAATAAAAGTTTCTATGTCGTTTCAGTAATGTGCTGATTTTGTTACAACCTGTACTACGTAATTAGAACTTAACCATAGCGGATACTGCCGAAAAAAAAAAACGAAACGACTTTAAGAGCCAGCACACTCGAAACATACACACTGCACGTAAACATATTAGGTTGTCCCATAAGTCTTTTCACATCGGCGAAATTCGGCTTACCTCCATATTTTTATCTGGAGCTTAGGCGATTATTTGAAAGAGCAACAAAAGCTTTATAAGATGCTTTCAAGATCGCAAAAGATTTGATACACATAAAGTTTAGAGATAAATTTTAAAAATATTCAAATGCCGAAGAATTTGTACCTCAGGCCAAAAGAATTCTGCGGAACCCTAATCTGCTGCTATATAATTCCCACATCAAACTTTACGTTTGCATTTGCTGAATTTTTTCATGATTAGGAATCGTGAAACTAAAATAGGCCAAATCACCGAAAACCCAGAAAATGTGCATTTTCTGGTTTTTTAATGTTATTTCACAAAAATCAAAATATGTAGACGGCTAAAAATTCACTTGTACTCACAAAGGTTTATACTAGAGATCTGTCTGCTGAGGAACAGCCCAGCACAGCTTTTACGAAAACATGCAATTTTTTATTTGCCTTGATTTCTAACGATGGGCAAAATATAGCAAGTGCGTGTGTGCATATTTGTTTGGAAATAATATGCCAGAACAAGTAATTTTTTAACGAAGATTCAATTTTTTGATTCTTTGGGCATTTGGATCTTTTTAGATCTCGGATTCGAACATGTGTGATCACACTTGGTGTGGATGTTTTGAACGTCATCATGTAGAGATTGCTTTGCTTTTCTAAAAGTTACCCGATTTTTTAATCACCCGATCCCATAATTTCGAAGAGATCGCTTGTAGCAGGAAAGAATCAGATTTGAAGAGACTTATGGGACAATTCATCAACTTTTGATTTTCCTTATTTTAAATATAAGGTTTCCAGCCCACGCATCGATACAAACAAGTTCGCTCGACTCGGTAAAAGAAAGTTAACTCACGTTGTTTGCTTTACCAGCGTTGTTCCAGCAGTTGTTGTTGTGTTTCTCGAACGATGTGAACATCCCCACGTTGAAATCCTAGAATTATTCCTTTCTGTAACATATTGATATTCGCATATGAGACGATAGCTACAATATTTTCGCCAAGCTAAACCAGTTTTTGATGTATATGTTAAGTGGTAAACAAATTTGCCAATAGAAGTCGAGCTAAATTGTTTTCTTTATATCTTCAACATGAGTGACTGTCAATCAGCGATATTTTGGTCATGTATACTGATAAGCTCAGACTACTGATTATGTATATCATAGATGTTTTTCTCCAAAAAGGGCGCCGGCCTGCGTTTCGAAACAGCTAGAGTTCGATTTTTTGAACATTGAAATCAATAAGCTAAACTTTGCTTGGAAAAGGCCCGAACACCGAAGCAAATTATGATCGGATATCGGTTTATCTAAACAATACTAAGGGTATAGAACGAATTTTTGAATCGAGCTTCTGCAAGTTCTGCGTGTCCATAATCTGAAAAAGGCAGATCTAAGTGCAACGGATTTCCCTCCCTTTTGGGCATTTCTTCTTGTTTTATCGTCATTTTTTCAAACTGAATAGCGTATCTGGTAGCTGAGGCCATCGCACACTAAAAACACGCCAGACTTGCATTCACGTCCATTTTTGGCATTTATGCGAAGAATTTGCAGAACTTTCTTTGAACCTTATACAATGTACCGAAAAAGTCATTTTGCTCATTATCTGCACACACTTTTAGCTGAAGAGACTGTTGGATGCGTGCGGGGTCTTTTACAATAGCTTGCGGGCCAATAGCCAACCATGTATCAACCAGTGTCTCTCCTTCTAGGTTACACTGGTATTATTGTCGCAGAAGGATAGAAGGCTGGTTGACCCAGGAGGGCAATTTGATTCGACCTGGTTATAACGGCCATCATATCACCCTCCCCCCCCCCCCCTAACGCACCATATACTGCGTAAGATATTTCGAAACTATCTTCCAAGCAAATCAAAAGGTTCCTTCATACTACGCCGCAAGACGCAGCGTGCGTGGCGTGCGCCGCAGGAATCGCTCTGAGAATATGTTCACTGCAACGCCTTTTCGCTGGTTATGTATGTATCTCTATATCTCCTGCACGTTCACGTTCATAAGTACACAACCAGCGAAAAGGCGTTGCAGTGAACGCATATTTCCAGAGCGATTCCTGCGGCGCACGCCGCGTACGCTGCGTTCTGCGGCGTAGTATGAAGGAACCCAAATCGTCCAACAAACACAGGAGGGCAAGGAACGCTCATCGGAGCAAGAGTGACAGAAAGTGAGCGGTGGGGGAACGGACTTACTTGATTTACAACCACCAGCAAAACCCATTCGAACGTCACAGTAACAGCCTAGGTGCTTACTCAGCCCAAATTCAAGTAGATACACCTTCGCTGCAGAGATTGCCTAAGCGTAAATGTTGTGCGGATCAATGTAATGAGTACATTTTTGCAGTTTTGGTAGCAATCGAGCACATGCGGAGCCATCGACGCATACCGAAGTACAAATCTGCTAACTGCAGGTCAATCACTTCGCATTATCCGCTCTGAGCGGAGCCACAGGTAAGCGCACGTGAGTTAACGAAAATATGTGCTGCGATAGAAGACAGTGAGTCAGCGAGTCCACGAAAGGTCGAACAAATAATAAAAGCGCTTCCAGTTTCCAAATATTATGGTGATCGAACAGTAATGGTGCACTTAAGAAATAATGCAGGTTTCGCAAACCAAGGATTGATATGCTCCAGCACTGGGTGGCAGAATCACAAACTTTTGAATGAAGCATGATTAAGTTAGGCTTTTGTCGTAATTTTCATGGTTGCTAGTCACTTGCTTCATATGTATCGGGCAGAAGAAACGCTAGATCACAGCAATCAGAAAAGAAATACACAAGAAGTTCGTACGGAAGAATTTCCAATAATTCTGTCTTCCGCTTTAGTTTATTTCGTTTGGAGACGAGGCTGAGACGCACATAGTGGAGTTTTAAGCCTTGTAGGAATCAAATAGGCAGATTCCACATTTGTTACTTTAAGGCAAAAAAGCAGACTCCTTTCAAGAACTTTCAATTCCTTCTTTTTCTAAGCATGTAGATGGTTCAATGGTTTGGCGTACGAAACTAATTCGGGCAACACTTCCACTTCAGGAGAAATAAGCTCAAATTAATGTTTGAAAAGTAAGACTTCCAGTTTGCACATATTTGCTTCAGCACTTCCACTCAACAGCGCCGGTTTTTTTTGAAGACGATATACATGAGATTATTATCATAGACCGTAATTTCCGTTTATTTTGCTCACTAAGATAATCTTTATTCGTAAGATCTTTTTGAGCTTGATGTCCTTGGCTCCCAACACCGTATTTTCTGCTCTTCGCAACCCCCTTGCAATCATGCTTTCGAGGAGATGAGATTGGAATTCTCCTACCTCAAGGACCCCCTGTCTTATTTCCTAATCAGTTCGCTTTGACTTAATAGTCATCCTAACCCTAGTTTCTTCATGCCAAAGCTGCATCCATGACGCTCGGTAAAGGATTTTGGTAAAAGGTGATCTCACCTAGTGGAAGAAGAGAACGACCTGACCGCCACAGCAAAAAGCACTTCTCGTTTCTGCCTTTGCAGGGATCACAAAACTTATGTATGACAAATGTTTTGCGCATTCGATGAATAAAATAGTAGAAGCAGAGTAGATGGAGTAGATGGACATATACAGTGCTGGACATAATTATAGAGACACTCTAGAAATCGTCGTAATTTTCGTTCTTGTCAGTGATTCTGTCTGAAACTTTGCTGTATGGTGCGCATGTATGTCTACCATAATTCCTCAGAACGGCTTCCAATCCCGTTGATTTCGAACGGAGAAAAATGAAAAATTCGAAAAAGCCTGTTTTGCAAGCTGGACATAATTATAAAGACACCTGGCCTTTTTAAAATTATCGCATTCCTTGACTCTCAAATTTTTTTGTAGAGTTACATCCCCGAATATGAAACTTTTGCAGCACCTAGAACCTGTCATTCTAATCAAGGAAAGATGATCCTTGCATTTTTCGTTTCCAAAGGCATCAAAAGTCAGACTGCTTCAATAAACAACTAGTTTGAAGAGTTTTTAAGCCCTTGTTCATTTCACATGATAATCATGGAGTCTACTGATCCTTCTGGATAGATGAGGTAAAGAGCGCTTTCGTAAACTCTGCGTAATCGCTGATTTTGACGGACAGACTCCAACCTCACCATAGGGTTGTCGCGCTTTTGCACCACAAAACTCACTTTCCAATGTCCGTGAAGTGATGGACTCGATTTATTACATTGTCTACATGGAGATGCATCTTTTGCAACAACTTTTAGATTTTTTCTGGTGCTGCAGTTGCCATTTAGATGTGAAATACTTTCAAAGAAAATTCTATGCGAGCAGTAGATTCAACATAATCACAAATCTCACTATTTTATCCTCTGTTTCATGTCGCATTTTGCGCGGTAGCTGAGATTAGCAAGATTTTGAAGGTTTCAAGCGGTCTCCTGTTCGATTTCTTGATTTGAGTTGGATATGATTGTGCAGGGTGCTCGACTCAACTCTCAACGGATGAAAACTGCGGCTGAACCAGAATGTGCAACCCCGAAATTTTTTTCTGACTAGGCACACAAGTTTATTGTTGTACGTGTATTGTTGCGGCTACATTGCAGCGTTTTCTGTAACTTGAAAATCGAGTTTTGTGGTGCAAAAGCGCGACAACCCTATGGTGAGGTTGGAGTCTGTCCGTCAAAATCAGCGATTACGCAGAGTTTACGAAAGCGCTCTTTACCTCATCTATCCAGAAGGATCAGTAGACTCCATGATTATCATGTGAAATGAACAAGGGCTTAAAAATTCTTCAAACCAGTTGTTTATTGAAGCAGTCTGACTTTTGATGCCTTT